GCCAAAACCGTACAATGAAAAAAAGATAGCAACTTCAACATATGGTGCTGGAAGTCCACAGGTAGAAAATGCAAATAGACCCATATCTATCACCTTGCACAACCTTAAAGTCCAAGCAGATCAAGATCTCAACATAAAACCAGACACACTAAATTTGTTGGAAGAAAAAGTAGGGAAGACCAATGGTTTTTTTTTTTTAATATTATACTGTGAGACAGTCACAGAGACACAAATAGTGTGTGATTCCATTCACATGAAGAGCCTTCATCAGTCCACTTTAAAAGACAGAGAGTAGCTCAGCTGATGTAGAGAATGGGAGAGAGAAACTGGTGATTACTGTACAGCTCTGCAAAGTGGAGGGAGAGCCAGAGCCATGGGCTGAAGAGCTGTGAGCACTGAGCTTTATAAGTAGAGTGGTTAGGATGGTAACTCCTGTGATATGCATCTCATTCCACGATTTAAAAAAGAGAGAGAGAAAGTCGTAGATGTGATTGCCTTATCTGTTGCACACAGAGTATCCTGATGCGAGACAGCACAGAGCCTCTACCATGCTTAAAAATTAGAAAACCCTGAGCCAGAGACATAGGACCCATGTGGTAGAAGGAGGGCAAAGTCTTCCTTTGACCTTCACCTGCCCACTGTAGCATAAACAACCCCTCACAAGTCAATACATAAATGTAACAAAAAATTAAATAAGAGAAAACAAGTCTATATAAGAATGATCCAAGGCATGAACTAGCTATTAGAGAACACAAATGATTCATAAATATCTAGAGATGTTAAATTGCAGTAGTAATTAGTGAAGTGCAAATTAAATGCTATACTGTATCTCATCCACTTACAAGTGTGAAAATATATGTATATACAAATATATGTATGTATTTGTATTAGTTGTGGTGAGGAGTGTCAGAATTTCATATGTTGACTTGAATGCTTGTCTATGGAGCAGTGGTGTGTGATAAGCCCTCTGCTCCCGGGACAGCTCTTCTGGGATTCTACTCCACAGCTACCCACATTTAAGTGCAAAGACCAATACATTATCTTCCCTGAGGCACTGCTGCTAATTCTAAGTAGTTTCTCAAAGCACAACAGCCATCGATAAGGGGAAGAGCAAACAGGGAGCCCTTGACAGAAGATCTATCTACAAGTATGGAACAAGTTGTCCACCTTGTATTGTAAAGAAGGAAATTCAAATAACAAACATAATTTTAAAACTTGTTTGTAAGTGAGAGACACAGAAAAAAGATCTGAGTTAGCAGCAGCAGTTGTCTGTGGTGTTATTTAATCTACATTCGACTGAAATCACAAAAAGGGAGGGAAAAGGATAAGAAACAATTAGACCTAGATAATGAGGTTTTTTTTTTTTTACAAATTTAATAATAACTGTAAATTTAGAGATCCGAGAAGTTCAGCAAGCCCTAAATTGAATAGAATAAATCTAAATAAAACTCTTGTCAGCAAATGTAAAAAAGAAAATTTTAGCAACCATAGAAAGTAGACTCCTTACAATGCATTTTAACAAAAAATTTAAAGGTCAAGGTAAAAATTACAGTTAGCTGATCACTAGAAACTATCCAGGCAAGAAAAGAGTGGTGGAAACAGTTTTGAACACTAGTCCTGAGTTAGAGCCCAGCACAAAATAGGGAGGGAGGAAGGAAACAGAGATAGGAGAGAGGAAGTAGGGGTGTGTTAGCAAAATTGTAACTGCTGCTGATCCCAAGTGTTGACAGTCCTGGATAACTACGGCATTCTACCATTGTCTCTCAGACAACTAACTAGTAACAAAATGACAGTGGAGGGGTGAGGGCTTGGCAGTGAAGAGCATTTGCTGCTCTTTCAGAAGACCGGATTTCAGCCCAGCAACCACGCCTGGCTTACAGTCACCTATAATCTCAGCTCCAGGGGGTCCAATTCCCTCTTTTAGCCTCCAAAGGCACCTGAACACACATTCCGTACACACACACACACACACACACACACACACACACACACACACTCACTCACTCACACATGCATACATACACATGCACACACAGAGAGAAACACATACAGAGAGAGATGTATAAATAAAATAAAATAAACCTTTGAAGAAACTTGCATGTATATGCGTGTTCTTCAAATCTTTACAAATGAAAGCATCTGATGGTGATATTCATCATATGTTATGATCGTCATGTCATGTTGGAGTAGCCAGCGGCTAAATGGTAAACTCATGATAGTTAATCAGCACTGCCAACCTGACTGAACTCAGAACCGCTTAGAAGATGCTTCTCTGGGTGTGTCTGGTACAGGAGGAAGCACCTGATGAGAGATGACTCATCCTTCGTGTGGGTAATACTGTCCCAAGGGCTGGTATCCCATACGGAATGAAAACGGCGGTGGGCTGGGGAGAGTTAGTGGAGCACCAGCACCATCTCTCTCTCTCTCTCCCCTCCCTCCTAATTGCCAACACAATGTGCCCAGCTGCCTCACCACGGTGAGCTACACCCTCTCAAACCACGAGCCAAAAGCAACCTTTCTTTCCTTAAGTTGCTTCTTGTTCAGTGTTTGTCACCAGGAAGAGAAAAATAATGCACCACACACACCGCGTGTTGACGCTTGACGGGTGGCAGCTGATGCTGTAAGACCGAGTTTCCTTGCATCCGCTTCCCCGTTAGAAGAACAGCAGTCGGTTGTTGGTCCTGTCACTTCAAAGTGACACAAGTCAAATGGAGTGTGAAGTAACTAAAACCTGGGGAAGTGGGAGGATACAATGTGGATGGAGGAAGACCGTGGGAAGCCAGGATCAGCCACGGGGAAATAAACCCTCAGCTGGGGAAAAGGGAGGTTGCTTCAGGGAGGGCTTTCCCTAGAAAGATTCTGATAGGCTGTGCATTCTATTTCTCACTTCACACGGTGCGCTGTTTGTTTTGCTCTCCCTCACACCTCCCCCCCCCCTTGCAATTCATGTCCTCTCTAAGAAAGGTTTCCTGTCCGGTGGGAGAATGCACAGTGTGATTTCCTTTCAGAGTCAGCAAACACTCAGCCCAGCTCACACAGGGAAAGCACAAACCTCCCTCTTGTCAAAGGCCATATGAACAGCCACTCTTTCAGAACCACAGCACTATTTGTAGTGGTCATTTTTAAACTCTATTTTATTTGGGGTTCCTTAAAGCCTTTCCCTCCTGGTCCCCTACCATACCTAAGTAGGAGGGAGAAGGTTAATGGGGAGAGGAGGTGCAGACCCATTTACTTCTCCCAGCTGTTGAGGGTCAATGGGTTCTTTTAGGGCTATACCAGTCTCTGTCAACAGCAACTCAGCCAGCGGTCTCCTCCAAATACATGTATACATAACGTAACTGAGTTTACAGAGAAACCAAAACTTCCATTACAACTGTTTCGGGTTGGGTTCTTTTCTCTGACAAAGGGGTCTGAAACATCAACACCCATGGACTTCCTGTCCACTGGGGAAGGTGACAATGGGGTAGGTGTAGGGAGTGGAGGGATGGGCAGACTCTGAGAGAAGGAAAACTGTCCACGGTGAGTGTTCTTCGTGCGGCTCAAGTGTCATTCTGGACACTCAGCACCAGCCCCGTTCTCTCACAGCCGCCTTTTGAGGAAAGAACTTAAGACAAGAGACAGATCCGGCATCAAGGCGCAGCCCCAAAGAGGCCGGTGGTGGCGTAGACCTAGCTGCGCAGCTGAGCTCCCCATCGCGGGAGTATGGCTCACTGTACCCAGGCAGCCCCAGGAGAAGCTGGATGCAGGTGTGGTTGGAAGATGCCGAGGATGATTCTCACACGCAGGTCAGCTGGGAAACTCCTGTGACTCACCCCAGGCAAAAGAGAGCAGTAGAGAGACAGGGTAGGATCATGTACCCCAGCCCAACTCCAAAACAAACAACCCTAGCATTGGAAGTATAGCGGAGAGGCTGTGAGACTCAGAGGTGAAATCTCAACTCTGTCGCCTGTTTGACCATCATCCAGTCACTTTACCTCTCCCGACATTTATTTTCCTCATTGATAAAAATGAAGCACACAGTTCCTGGTCAGAAGTAATAGGAACCATTATTATTATGTAAACAAGAAAACTGAAAGTAAGACAGAAAAAGTAACCTGACCCGGGTTCCAAGTCTGTTTGCATCAGGGTTAGGACCAATGACTGGCCTTGCTGCTCCCCCTCCCGCCCCCCCCCCCGCCCCCAGTAGTGGTGCCTTTGGCCTGCACCTCGTTTTCACTTTTCAATTCTATTTTCTCCGCCTACATCATGACCAGGTGTCCAGAGCTGGAAACAGCTTGATCTCAAAGCGCTTTCACAAAATGTTGCAGGCAGCTTGTGGCATCTAGACTGTGTCTGAAAGCTATCTTTATGCCTCTGCCTACTCACCAGCCAGACAGGGCAGGTGGAAGCTCCTATGGACAAGTGGGTGGACAAGGGGCCGCACAAGAACCGTGAAAGGAAGTCTCTGTATTCACCCTCTGATTTCTCCTCCGTGCTGCTAGCTCTCTATTCTTGGATGCACCCACCCTTATAGCGGGGAGTCCAAGCAACTTGAGAAGTACCACCTGCTCTCTCTACCTGTGCAGAAGCCCGCATGTCTCAGGCTAGTGCTCTCCTCTGAGTGGAGGGGGAAGCACCTCCTCCCAAAGAAAAGGCAGGGCTGGGTGGGAGTTAAGGATTGGAAAGCAAGAGGATAGGGGCAGCCATCAACTCCCACGGAGTACTGGGAGAGAATAAACAAAGTGGTCCAAAGGGAATCCCAACTCAGCAAACATCTCCCCAACCACTGGAGAGAGGTCAGAGGATGGTGAGCCGCAAAGCAGGCCTGGGCTTGCTTGTGCCCCAGACGTGCGCTCTGAGAGCATCTGGTCTTTCAGAGTTACCCACCGGACAGGCGATACTTTTTTTGAGAGTTAAAACCAAAGGAGGACAGAGCAGGAGCCGCGCGGAGCTGCAGCCAGGAGGAAGCAGAAGGCAGCGAGGCTCGGGCAGCGCGGGCGCGCGGTCGGTCCCGTACTCACCCGCCTGGCGACCTGCTCTGGAGCTCGGCCGGTCTTCGGCCTCGCAGGGCCGCGGGTGAGGACGTCTGTCCCGGCGTGTGGAGGCGGCTCCGCGCCCCGGCTATGAATCAGCTGCGGGGCAAATGTCCAGGGGCGGGAGTTACGGGAAGGCGCCAAGGGAGGGCCGAGGGGCCAGCGCTGTTGCAATTTCCCGTCTCGCTGAGCACTTTTGGCACTCCTGGGACCCGCAGGAATTCGCGTCCTGGTCCCAGGGGTATCAAGGGGGAACAACTAGCGCGGTTCCTGGGACGCGGCGGGTGGGACCGATGGGAAGGGAAGTGGGAGAGGCCTGGCAGGGAAAACTGCGCCCAGGGCATGCCGCTGTTCCTGGAGGGACAGGGGAGGAGCAGAGACCCGGGCCCGGTGCCCTGCACGTAGCCACTTGTGATGCCGGGAGACCCCACCCGCGCTCTGTTGGAAAGCTGCTTGAAATGACAAACTCTTGGGTCAAACTTGTGATCGTGTTAACTTTCGGCTTCCAGAGCAAGACAAACGTTTTCGAACAGAAGTCTACGGACGGACCGTGTTCCCCCTGTGAGACCTGGAAATGCCCTGTCTGACCACGCCCCCACGCCCCCACGCCCCCACGCCCCCACGCCCCCAGCCACACACCTGAGTCCTTTGTCCACCAAGAGCCAATTTGCTTTCTCTCCTTAAAATGGCATCCGATCTTTCCTGCCCGGACTTTTGAAAGATAGTTTTGACCTCTCCTTGTGGCTGCATGGTGAAAGGTCCACAGCCACTGAGAACTGGCATGAAGCTTCCGCGGCCAGGCCTAGGAGCCAGGTGAACCGCCCACCTGCACAGCACACTTTGCTCCAGGCCAACTAACACTAGTTCAGTTCACATTTGGAAACCACCTAAAAGTCACGAACGGAAGGGAGCCGAGGGGAATCATGGTAGATCAGGACTCGAGGATTCAGAGATCGGTCTCAGAATCAGTAACTGGGACATCAGTAATGGGACATCTCAAAAACAATGTCAAAAATACATTGTTATTTTTGACATTTGTTATTATTTGTTATAATAATATTATTATAACAATAATATAATAATATAACAAATATTATTTGTTATAATATTTGTTATTATTTCTAGTTATTACAGAGCCTCATGCTCATGCCTGTGCATGCTTTTTCTTCCTCCCTAATGACATTTCAGGGAAAGATTGTTTTTTTTTTTTTTAAAGACACTAATCCTCTCAATATTTAATACCTAATGGTGCCCCAATAGTGCACGGTAAGTATTTGAAGAGAATTAGGAAAAGGTACACCGTGTCCAGTGAATACGTGCGGGGTCCTTTGCCACACCTTTCATTACTTTTAAAGAATCCATTAGTGTGGCTGTGTGAACAGCCTCGGGGACACGGTGGAGGCAAGTTCTCATCCCCTAGAAAGGCTTTCTGGTTCTGTTTAATTAAGAAAATGGCGTGTGGGTGTGTAGTATCTTCTTTATGGGAGCAGTTGGGAGAGGTGTTTTTCAGGGCAGACCATCTTCAACAAGAGTCATCGGTGTGAATAACACTTTTAGTTTTCAAGCATGTACTGGAACATTTTCACCCCCAGACCACCTCCTTCCCCATCCATTAGTGTCTCCCAAGCCAGCTCTAATTCCACTTCAGTGTCATATATGAAAGCATAATTTTAAGTATCAATATAAAATCTAGAAATTGCAAATAAGAAAAAAAAACCTGGTGATATTCGTCTTCCTGAGTTTGGATATATATATATATATATATATCTTCATTTGTATTCATTGTCCTAAATCATATAAGTAATATGATTTCTTTTTCCTCTGTGCCAGAAAAGAAGTTTGCTTGTGTGCACACATGTTTTCCTCTCCCATTCCTGTACTGTTGGACATCTGTGCTGGTTCCATAATTCAGCTACTGTGAACAGTGCTGCTACAAACACTGATGTACAAGCATTTCTGTGGAATGTTGACTTTGAGTTCTTTGGGGAAAACACCCGCTGAATTTGGGCTTTTATTAATAATATTGTTGAAAGAGACTAAAATGTAGTAGTAGCAATGTATACTTTTAATCCCAGTACTTGGGAGACAGGCAGGTCTGTTAGTTCCAGGTCAGCCTGGTCTATGTGACAGTCCTCCCCCTGGCCCCAAGTGACTCCATATTATTCTTTTACTTTTGTACTCTTCTATCTTCTTGAATGTGTTCCTTTATTCGACATTCTAGTTGTATACATTGCACAACTGTGCTCTCAGCCAGAAAATGGGTGAAGAGAGTTGAATACTGTCCTCTCCAATTCATATCAAAGCCCAGAATGTGACCATATTTGGAGACAGAGGTATCTCTGGGTTAGTTGAATTAAGTCAAGGTCACTGTGGATTAACACAGTGATAGCCATATTTACAAGAGGTTGTAAATTTGGACATGGGTCCCAGGATGAACACTGTATACCTGTGAAGACAGATTCTAAATCTATTCTGTCCATGCTGAAGACAGACAGGGCAGGGACCACTGACACCCACCAGAGCCCAAGAGAAGATAAAGGTTCTTCTGTGAGCTCCTTAGAGGGAGCCTATGGCAGCAACAGGCTGGCTTCACCCTCCTGGCCAGGAGATGTGAGAAGACAGACCTCTGCCGTTAAACGCTGTCAAGTTTGTGCTGCTCTAGCAGCTTAGGAAACTCAATCATAGGTTTCATGCCAAAGTTTTCTTTTTTTTTTAAGTGGCCTGAAAATGCCTGCAACAAGAAGATGGAACATGCCAGTGACTTGCTAAGCTGAAGGTTGCAATCTCCATCCTTGCTCAGCGCTGATATAACCGTACTGCAGGAACACAAATTTATTCTTCTCTTGCCCTCCTCCTTGGTCCTCTGGCTGCCTCTTTTATTTTTGTAGAAAAACCCGCGATGATCTTTCCAGTGTCCTTGACCATCTTATCCCTTTTTTTTTTTTTTTTTTTTTGTGAGACAAGGTTTCTCTTGTGTAGCACTGGCTGTACTAGAACTCACTTTGTAGACGAGGTTGGCCTTGAACTCAGAGATCCACCTACCTCTGCTGGGACTTAAGGCATGTGTCACCATACCCCGTTCTTTTCTATCACCTTGTTGGGCTTCTTCTCACTTGCCCCCAAGAACTTGATCCTTCTCACCACTGACGTTGTCTTCTTCCTCCATAGTTTCCTAAAAGATAATGTTCATCTATGACATCAGCAGTCACTTGTGCACAGTGACCGTGGAGTATTATTTTTGTCTACTGTGATTTCCTTCATCCACACCCCAGACCAATTTGTTTCCACTTCTCCATCAGTGTCCTCAAGTTCAAATTCTGCATCATCTCTCACTTGGTTCTTTTACTTTAAGTGAATGTTCCAACCTTCAGTCATTATTAAAGTAATAGTCCAGCCTAAATTCAGTGTCTTTTGAAGCCAAAATCCCTACAATAGCTCTTGAACCATTGTCTGTCTCCATTAGAGTCACATATGAGGAGCTGTTATGCAGGAAGCACATGCTTGGAATGGATGGCTACTATATTCAGTTTCCCAGAGAAAAAGTACATCTACTGCTTTCAAGTCATAGCAGAGATATGTGTATTTCTTTAGATATATAAAATATATAATATTAAAAATCTATGTAAATTCTGAAATGCAGCTGTTTTTCAACTGTTATAAATACATACAATTGCATATTGGATGATATTTGTTACCAAACTGATAAATTTGAAGGAATTTAGAGTTTTCTGAAGAAAGTGTCTTCATAACTATCTTCATAACTCAGCAATGGATGATGGCTGATAATTTCTTTCATCTATAAAAGTTCTTTATTTTCACATTTGACATCTCACAGGTTATCTTTAAGCCTTCAATGAAGCATTCTTATATGATCTTGGCCAGTGGTAATCTTGACTTTTTTTTGTAACAAAGCTTAATGGAACTTAAAATATGATTTTATCAATGTATCTTTCTACTCCTGACCAGTAGTAATATTGATTTTTTTTTTGGTAATAAAAATTAATGGAACTTAAAGCATGCTTTTTTTTTCAATATCTTTTTACTTTTGTGAAAAAATAATTAGGTTTTCTCCAAATCTTTAAATCGTAATATATACCATAAAATTTAGCTATGGGACACCTACTCCTTCTAAATATCCAAATGAGGAGCTCCACAATGATAAGAGTAACTGTTGGAGGGGAGAAGGCTATGTGGAACCTCTTAGACTTTCTTCCAAAATTTTCATACAGAAACCAAGAGGCTGTCAGAGGACCACGTCTGAGGGCTGAACAGAGCAAACGTGGATCTACATGAGGGAGAGCATCGTGTTGTGATTCTCAGAGAGTACCTGTTGTAATAATGCTCACATCTTGTTTTAGAGATCACTGGAAACAAGATAATATAGAGGGCTTTTTGGATATATTTCTTTTCTTCTCCCATGACCTTTAGGAAAAATGTTGACTATATGTTTGTTTAGATAGCAGCTTTCATGCTCTTGGTCTATGATTATGAGACTTAACACATTTCAGTTTAGCAGCTGGTGCTAAAAGACAGATCATGGGTACAAAAAGAGAAGTACTTTTGAGAGAGTTAAGATGGGAACTTGGGGGGACTTTGGACTTTTAAAAGTTATTTACAGTTGATCAATGTGTGTGTGTGTGTGTGTGTGTGTGTGTGTGTGTGTGTGTGTTGCTGTGGTTTGGACCTTAAGTATTCTTCCAGAGATTGTGTGTTGAATACTGGCCAGTTGGTGCTGCTATTGGGATGGTGGAAGCTTTAGGAAGTGGGAATCAGCAGAAGGAAATGAAGTCACTGGTGCACACCCTTAGAGGGACTATTGGAACCCTGTTCCATTCCTCTCTGTCTGTCTGTCTGTCTGTCTCAGCTTTTCAGTCACTAAGAAATGAACACAGTACCATAATGCACTGTGCCATCAGAGCCTCAAAGTTAGCAGAGCCAAGTCATGACTGAGCCCTCCAGTATCTCAAACTAGAATGAATGTTTTTCCCATTTGAGTTGTTGATCTTACATATTTTGTACCAGCAAGAAAAAAGCTGACAAACACAGATCTATAATTGAAAATTTAAAATCTGCCCTTCTTATAGTTGTTAGTTATAAGTCTCATCTTACAGCATGTAGATGGGACTTTTACAAACATCTAATAATCCATGCAATTTAATTTGATGAAGTTTTTATTACTCTTATATTTAAGTCAGTTATAGGTATGCTTATATTTTGTCCGCTATTCATTATGTGTTTCTTCTATTTAACTTTTTTCTTTTCTTTTGTTCCCTCTAGTTTTGTTTTCCTATTCTGTTTTCTTCTCTTGGGTTTTAATATTTTTTTTTAGAATTCCACTATAATATTTTTTCTATATGCCTAGTTACATAATGTTTTAATGTTTCCCTATAGATAATTACATACAGTCTTCATGTTCACTGTTTACTTGGCATAGTATTATATTGTTTCACATGATAAATACATTTATTCATACTCTTTAACCTTTACACTGCAGTTTTAAAGTGTGTTATATGTATAGACAAGATAAAACTCAACATGATAAATTTTTAAAGAAATTAAAGGAGGTAGGCAGAATGGCTCAGGGGTAAAGATGCTTACTGTGAAGGCTTACCATCTAAGTTAGGTCTCTAGGACCCACATGATAGGAGAAAAATTACTTCTGCAGGCTGCCCTCAGACCTTCACATGCATACATGAACACACACACATACACACACACACACACACACACACACACATGCACACACACACA